GGCCGGCGCGCCCCCCGCAGCAGCAGCAGCAGCAGCAGCAGCAGCAGCAGCAGCAGCAGCAGGCTCGTTGTCGGTGTCGGAGCTCTTCATGGGCCTTATGACCGCCCAGCTGTGGGCTGGGGCCCCCAACTGGTTGGCAATTTTATTTAAATTATTTAAATCCAATTTGGATAAACAAACTTCCGCCTTCAGCAGCAAAACCAACACCGAAGATATGGTGCTTTCCAGCTTGCTGCGGTCCCGCGGAAACTCCAGCTTCGCCTCCCGCAGGTGCGACTGCAGCAGCAGCAGCAGCAGCAGCAGCAGCAGCAGCAGCAGCAGCACTCCCTCCAGCTGCTGCTAAATTAATTAAATTAAATTAAATTAAATTAAATTAAATTAAATTAAATTAAATTAAATAAAAAAATTAAATTAATTAAAATAAAGTCTCCCACTTCTGCTGCTGCTATGTTGCTGCACAAGTCCCCCAAGGCTGTGTGCTGCTGCAGATCTGCTGTTTGTCTTCGAATTCCCTCCAAGTCCTTTTGGGCCTTCAAATAAAAAGAAATAAGTAGAAGAAATAAATAAAATAAATATATGAATATTCAGTTATTCAATAATTTATTACTAAATAATTATTTAATTAAATATTTATTATTTAATAATTTGGAGCTTGTTAGGGGGCCTGCTGGTTGGCGATGTGTCAAAAATTCAAATTAAAACCCCAGGGTTTAGGGTTTAGGGTTTAGGGTTTAGGACCTGTCGCATGATTGCGAATCGAACTCTGTAGGAAATAAAAGTGGCCCTCAAAACCATGAAAGTGACAAACAGAAAAACCGAAACCGAAAAGATCAAAAACAACAAACCCCCAACTCCCCCTGCGCGCACAAGCCGCAAACCCTAAACCCCGCCAAACCCTAAACCCTCCGAACCCCGCAAACCCTAACCCCTCCCGAACCGCACAAACCCTAGCGGCCAAACCCTACAAAACCCAAACCCTGAAAAGCGCAAACCGCAAACCCCGCAAAACCGCAGCCGCGCTGCCGCAGCGGTCCCCGCGACGCCGCGGAAACCGAGGGTTTAGGGTTTAGGGTTTAGGGTTTAGGGTTTAGGGTTTAGGGTTTAGGGCGTGGCGGGCCTGCGTCGTTGGTGGGGCTGAGGAGCAGCACCGCGAAAATCCACCAGAAGGCCAGCCAGCCCGCGAAAGCCAGGAGAGAAAGAAATGAAAGTGAAATTGAAAATGCAGAAATCAAAAGTAAAATCGGCTGGGAGGCGGCAATGATGCTTTCGCGGCGTCCGTACACCCCAAAGTCGAAGCCCAGCGGGCGGCCCAGCAGCAGCTCCGTCAGGCGCAGCAGCCGGTACCCTGCGGGATTGTTGCAGAGTGTTATTTGTTTCAATAAATGTATTAAATTCCTCTTTTGTTGTTTGTTTGTTTGTTTATTTGTTTAGTTGTTGCTGTTCGGCTTTTTGCGCGCGTTTTGGGGGCCTGGGGTGGTTGGTTTGGGTTCTTTGCTCGGTTGGGTTGTTTAGTTGCACTGTTTGTTTGTTATTGGTTGTTTGTTTGCTGTTTGTTGTTTAATTGTTGTTTAATTGTTTATTTAATTGTTTCTTCAACTCTTTGTTTGGTTGTTTATTTGTTTGTTTGTTGTTTGATTGTGTTTAACTGCAGTTGCTGGGTTGTTTTGTTGTCACTGGAGGCAAAGAAAGTCACAAACGGTGAAACAAAACAAAAGTCAACAATTAGTCAAATTAAGCAAATTAAACTAATTAAATTATATTAATTAAATTAAATTGATTTAATTTAATTAATTTAATTTAATTAATCAATTAAATTAATTGAATTACATGAATTAAATTCAATGTTTAAATTGAAGTGAAAAATGCTGCTTACGGGTGGAGTAAAGAAGAAAAAGAGGAGAATAAAGGAAGAAAAGAAAAGTGAAAAAACAAATTGGATTTCTTTTTTTGAATTTGCAAAAACCCAAAAAAATTAAAAATAAAGATAACAAAAAAGTCAACCAAGTTGGAAGCATCACAAGTTCTCCGTCGAGGGTTTCCAGAGGCACTCCGCTCGCAGCCCGGTCCACCACATCAACTGCAACAAACCCTAAACCCTAAACCCTAAACCCTAAACCCTAAACCCTAAGGCGGCGCGCCCTACTCGCGGAGAGGGGTTTGGGGTTTGGTGAGCTGCGAGGGGGGTGGCAGACGCTTGGCGAGGGTTTGCGGTATAAGGGACACGTTTTACGCTCTTTTAGGGTTTAGGGTTTAGGGTTTAGGGTGTAGGGTTTAGGGCTTAGGGCAGGGGGCGTGGGGCAAAGGGCAGAGGGCGACGCGT